TTGCTGAGGAGGAAATTGACTTGCCTGAGATAAATGAGCATTGAGTCAGTGAGGCTCAGGAAAGGTCCAGAAGCCCGTCCTCCGGCAGTGGCCGCCGGTACCGGAAGATACCAGATCTCAGTTGGGGGAGGAGGGGTAGGGTGGCAGATGAATAACCAGAGACTCTGAACTTGGCGCACAGTTGCATTTACCGCAGTAGGGGAAATAAAGGTGGCATTTTGTTGTTAATGAACTTGCCGGTTCTGATTTTCTTGATATTATTGCCGAAACTCAGCCTCTGATCACTGGTACTGAACAGAAATGCAGAGACAGAGATTTGGGTGAAATAGGAAAAAGTAGCTTTAATTGCTTTGCAGGCAGAGGGGCCACAGCAGGTAATGCCCTCACCATTGAGAGGATTGTGAGGAGTTTTATAGTGTTCAAGAAGCAGGGCATGATCAGCTAGAGGATCATTCTTTGACTGGTTGGCATCAAGGTGAAGTTTCAAGCATCCTCGTCCTTCTGGTATCAACCGTCTAGGGTCTATGTACTTGTGGCCAGCAGTTTTCACCTGGAGGGTGTCTGCTTCCTGTAAAATCAGTTTAGGACTATGTGTCAGGCCTGTGTCTATATCTTTGGGGTAACTGGGGTTTCAGTGATTCTGTTATGTGGCAGATTTATAGTCTACATTCTTACCAGTTCTCCAGACAACAGCAATTCTTTGTTTCTACATCTTCACATTTCCCAAACATTAACTCTTCAGTTAGCATTTTGTTTAAGAAGATAAGGACACAGGGGCTTGTACACAGTTTCATTATGAGGCTACACTTTTCAAGTCCTAGTGGCCCCAAAGACAAATGTACACCTTTTCCTCACAGCCTTTAATAAGCTAATATATCTTTCTGGTGACTGACTGTTCAAAAGAGGGATAAAGCCTATAATGTTTCACACATAATAAAGTATTTCATCATTTAAAATACTGCAGTTATTTTTCAAGGCATTCCATCTGATGTGAATGTCTTTATAAAAGTAGTTGAAAAACTGCTGTCTTGAATTACTAGTCTGAACCTGTTTCATAATGTATATTTTATAATGGTCGTAACACCTTCAAGATTGCCTTTTTTAAGTACTATAAAAAATAAGAGAAATTTGTAAAGTAGCAGGTTATAAAAGTAATATTAGAAAATGAATCGCCTTATAACCGTAAGTATAGTAAAATGTTAATGTGAGAACCTAGTGAGTTGACTGTAAAATTCTTTCATCCTTGCTCTACGTTTAAATTTTTTCATGATAGAAAGTTGGAAAAAAATAAACAACCACAACAAAACAAAGAATAAATTTTTTGTTATGCAACCTTAAACCAGTGGAAGTACTTAGCAAAGAAAACCATATTTATAATTGCAAAACTAAGTAAAATACCAAATGCTAACTTTCCACAAAACACTCAAAACTCTCCTGAGAAAAATTTTAAAACACTATTAAAGGAAACAAAAATAGAGGAGCAAATGGAAAGACACAAATGGGCATTCTTACCTTTGTAGAGACTTTTGTTGAGCTAAGTGAAGTGCTAGAACATATATAGATACAATGTAAACCCAGTAAATGTAATACCATTTTTTTTTCTCTTCTCAAGATAGGTAAGTAGTTAGTAAAACTCATTTGAGTACATAAACAAAAACTACCAGAACATTTGGGGAGGGGGAGAAATAATAGTTATAGCGAAAGAGAGGTTAAATCTACCAGTTATTAAAATATGTTATAAAGACTTTAGAACTGAGACTGTAGTGTTGGCTCATGAATAAACAACAGTGAAATAAATTTTAAAAATCCAGAAATACATCTAATTATACATGGAAACAGTATATAATAAAGGATGCACTTCATATCAGTGACAAAAGATGAACTGATGTATGTTACAATAACTAGATAGTTATATGAAAAAAGATAAAATTTTAATTCTTCACATTGCACACCAGAATATATTCCAGGTGGATGAGACACCTAAGTTTAAAAAATAAAATTATATCAGTGCTAGAAGAAAGCATGGATAAAAAGCATTCTATACTTTGGGAATGAGGCATTTTTTCCAGCTATGATTGAAAATCCAGAGGGAGGAACAAGAAAATAGATTTTTTTTTAAAAAAGTGTTTTTATAAAATATAATTTCATGCAGAAAATACCTAAAGTGAGTAAAAGAAAAATGACAAACTAGGAAAAATATTTGCAGCTTAATCTGAAGGAATGAATATACTATATTAATAAAACTGTTTTTAAAACAGAGAAGAAAATTACTAACTTTTAATTAAAACAGATGGCATAAAATACAATAGCTTTGAACTATATGCAAATATATTCAACTTCCCCCGTAGTAAGAAAAATGCAAATAAAAATATACTGTTACAGCATTTCTCACTTATATGATGGAAATCCAAGTTTGAGGACATGCTCAGTTGTCAAGTTGTTGGGAAATGAACTCTCTTTGCTAGTGGGAGAGCAAATTAGTGCAACCCCATTAGAGGGGAACTTGCCAATATTTAGTAAAAAACGCTTGAACACAGCAATTGCGTTTCTCAGACTAAATCACCAAAATATTCAGATAACTGAGAAACACACATTTTTCCAAGGCTGTACATTGCACTACATTTTTAGACTGTTGGTTAGCATGATTATTATTCTAAGAATGTTACCTGTTTATTACGGAATTCAGGAAATAAATAGTTGTAATGGTGTCATTAAGAACCAGGATTTTCCTCATTAAAAAAAAAAAGAGAGAGAAGTGTAAGAGTGTCGAGATAAGCAGAAACCCTGTGGTCCAGATTTTGAATTGGAGGTAGCAGTGTGGATTCATGACAGATCTGATCTTCTCCAAAAAAGGATTCCTGCTCTAAACACAGGCAAAGATCTGGACCCAGTGAAGAGCAGTGAGCAGAAGGTTGGGTGGTATTTGAATGGTGTACATGTGAAACACAGAAGTGTCTGCCATATAAGATACTAATGTGTGCTCTGAAAGGAAAAATAGGAATTCATATTATTTGGGGAAATTCTGAACTTCCTCCTTGGAAATTATGCTTTATGTTAAATACTCTGAAACAGTCTCTCAGTAAAGAAATCGAATAATGTTGAACACAGTGGCTATGGGGAGCACTTTGTTTTGTAGGGGAATGGACTGGGATTGTAGAATCCCTGTTGTTTTGATCCCACACAAATGTGTCATTGAAAATAGTCTGGGCAGTAATGCTGTGAAAGTGAAACTCAGTCTGTGGTTAACTATTTGTCATAGAGGGACAGGAGGTCTAAAAAGAGTTCCTGGTATTATCACGTACTTAACAAATAACTAATTTAATACAAGTGTTGTTTAGAATCTATCAGATACTAATGCTGTGTTCAGTGCTGGGAATGTAATGGGTGTGAAGAGGAAAGGAAAGTCTGGTAGAGCATTAAAATGCAGTGATACTATTAATTTTATTATAAAGATTCAAAACATTTTATGAAGATCTTTGTGATCAAGAAGCTAATTATAAGCAACAATTGTACTATGCCATGGAGTGAGAATTAAGTTATGATGATCAAAAGCAAGGAGGGACATTTCTGGCAAAGGAAAGAGTTTGGGCAAAGATAACTTAACATTAGAGTTGATGTTTACAGGGAAAATAGCCATACTTGTGTGGAGCAAGATACGTCTGTGTGCGTGCCTGCATGCTAAGTTGCTTCAGTAGTGTCCGTCTCTGCAACCCTATGGACTGTAGCCCGCCAGGCTCCTCTGTCCATGGGGTTCTCCAGGCAAGAATACTGGGGTTAGTTGCCACACCCTCCTTCAGGGAATCTTCCCAAAATCTATGATATACGTGTGTGTGTGTGTGTGTGTGTGAGAGAGAGAGAGAGAGAATTATAGGAAAAGGGTGAGGTAGGGCCAATGAAGTCAGAGAAATGTTGCTTCTGGGTTCTGGTAAGTGTGAGTTGTTATTATGGCTGATCCCATACATGACCTTGGGAAGGTGATTTCATTTCTGTGAGGCTCAGCTTTCCCATCTGTATAATGAGGACTAATAATATTTAAGTCACACAGTGAGGATAAAATAAAAAATCATGTATATAAAGCTTTCAGCACAGTGGAGGGCACTTAATCACTGCTGGTTCTTACTGTTAGTAGGCAGAGAGGAATCAAGTGATGAATGTCCTCCATTGTCAAGGAACAGTATTTGGATTTCATTTTGCAGGCAGTGGAGAACCATTGCAGAATTCTGAGCATGAGGGTGCAGTGATTAGCTCTGTGGTTTGGAAATATGAACATGGAAGAGTGAGTGAATGCAGAGGGACACCTGGCATTGCATCCTGATGGGAGAGGAGGAAGCATAAATGGGACATTTGTAGTGTGGCCAAAACTATTCACTTTTTAAGAGGTTTTGGTTATTCGTTGGATATTTGTATGTAGGAAGGTGGACTGAGAGACAAGAAAGAATAAAAAAAAAAATAGAGACATCAGGGTTTCCAGTCTGAGCATGTGAGTTGCCAGTAATACCAACACCTCAGACAACATAGGAAGAAGGGCAGGTGTATAGAAGAAGGTAGTGATTTCAGGCGTAGTATTTAGTTAGTTTTCTCTTACTTTTTTTTTTTTTTGGTCTATCACCCTTCTAGAATAAGCCAGCTTTGAAGATTTGAATGTGGTGGCCCAGCTTCTAATCCCATTAATCCCTTGATTCTCTGGGACCACTGTGTTTTGGAAAGTATGTTGCTTATTACAAAGGTTGTGATTGTGATCATTAGAAGTGCCGCTTCTGAGATCTGTCAGATATTTCAGAAATGAACTCCAGTAATGAACAAATATCCAGTAATGAACTCCACAGTCAAATACCGAAAACCATCAAAGCAACCAAACATGGTAGCCAAATGCGGATATGTGGCCTGCAGGACTGTATTCCTCAAAGCATTGCTTTCTTAAGCAGAGTTGGAAGTAAATGCAAATTGAAACATTCTCCTCAACGCCAGTGTTTGTGTGTGTTTCTTGTTTCCATGTGCAGGACAGGAGAGAATTGGGAAAGACTCCAGCTATGAGCAGGAGGGTAAAGTTCAGTTTGTGATTGACGCAGTGTATGCAATGGCTCACGCCCTGCACCACATGAACAGGGATCTCTGTGCTGACTACCGGGGTGTCTGTCCGGAGATGGAGCAAGCTGGGGGCAAGAAGCTGTTGAAGTATATCCGCAATGTGAATTTCAATGGTGAGTCTCTGTGTTCTCTGATCCCCCTCAGACTGACATGGGGAGTTTATGTTTTAGACAAGCAACATCTAGAGAATGCTATACAACTCTAGTGTGTCTGAAGTATTATATGTAAAACTGACAATTGCTCATAATGACAGCGAAGCATTGATACCAAAGTACTTTATGAATCTAAGAAGTCACATTATGGCAAGTATGATTTTAATGTTCTCATATATTTACCAGTATTCTAATATGCTGACATGTGGTAAACCAGATAACCAGAACATCCAATTATGCAACTCTGGGTGATACATACTTAGTGGAATCTAAGTTTTTGGCAATACAGAAATTTGTCATAATCATCTGGTATATTTTTAAACATATATTTCAGAATTCCAATATCTTGGTCATGTGATATATTTTGCTTGAGCTCATAAGGCTCCACCATCCATGGGATTTCCCAGGCAAGAATACTGGAGTGGGCTGCCATTTCCTTCTCTAGGGGAACTTCTCAACCCAGGGATCGAACCCAAGTCTCCTGCATTGCAGACAGACGCTTTGCCGTCTGAGCCACCAGAGAAGCCCTATTAAACATATTTAGACATCTCTATTCCGGTCTCTTTTGGAATCCCAAGTGCTGATATTCTGTGTTTCATCAGTTAAGTAGTCAGATTACAGTTTACTCTTGAGTATGTGGATTACATCATTTTGAATAATTGTATAAGTGCTAAATATATTATTTAGCAGTGAGTGAGCAAATGAATATATAAATTGGGGAGGGTTATAGTTTACCTGGGTCTGTCCTGGTGACTCAGAGGGTAGAGAGTCAACCTGCAGTGTGGGAGACCCAGGTTCGATCCCTGAATAGGGAAGATCCCCTGGAGAAAGAAATGTCCACCTATAAGCTGGAGAACCAGAGAACCAGTGGGGTGCTTTAGTCCCAGTGCACCAGCCTTGGGGTCAGAGGGTCAGTGGTGTAAGTTCTGATCTGCTTCTGAAAGCCAGAGAACTAGGAGCACCAGTGTCTGAAGGCAGGAGAGGATGGGCGTCTGCTCAAGCAGAGAGAGTGAATTTGCCCTTCTGCCTTTGGTTCTATTCATACTTTCTAGGGATTGGGTGGTGCCAGCCCACATTGGGGAGCGTCACCTGCTTCATTCTGTCCAGCAATTCAACAATTCTTTATTCACTTTAACCATTCTTCCAGGAACAACCTCATATATACACAGAAATCAAGTTTTGCCAGCTGTCAGGGCTTCTGCAGTCAAGCTGACACATAAAATTAACCATTTTGAATGTCAATTATATCGTGATTAAAAAAGTAATCTCTACATGGGATAATGCAAAATTTTATACTGTAATAAACCTAATATAGTGCATATGAATAGTGTAACCATACTGCAGGGAGTGAGAAAAAAAAAAAGAATGCAAGTAATTTTTGAAGACAGTATTTCACTGTACACTGTCAGACTGAAGATATGCAGAGTAGTACACAGATAGTGCACAGTAGCTAGAAGTTAGTATGTTTTTTCCCACAATTCTGAGGCTTATTTATGTCCATAAGAGAACTGAGCAATTTAATAAAAGATATTGCAGATAATGAAAATCAGGCCTCTCATTGTCAGGGAGAGAAATGACAAGTAAGGGTGGGAGAAAATTAAAGTAACATTGTGTTGACTATACCAGCATGCAGTATACGCACACAGTTGGAGAGATACAGAAAGGAATAAGGTCACGTCTGTATGTCTACAAACCTCTACGTCTAGTTCTGTCCACAGAGAGTGCCTAGGAGTGATGACATCCTGATAGAAATAACTGCACCTTCATTCACATCTTATTTATAAATGCCTTTCTCCAGTGAAATAGAGCTAGGGATCTCTAGTGGAACTCTTAATTCAGGGGCCAGAGCAGGGCAAGTAGAAGATGAGCTTGAAACCATGCTGTGCCACAAAGTAAGAAAGTGCTGAAAAATTGATGGGACCATGCCGAAGGGGCAAAGGAACCAGCTTGAAGAAGATCCCACCAGCTAATTCTAGACCAATAGTGGATTGAACTGATATAATACAATAAATATCAATGGGTTCATGCTCATAGAAATAAATAATTGAACACATAAATGCAGGAGAAGGGACAACATGATGGGAGGATGCAAAGATGGAGATACAAAATTCACCAAAGACCTCAATAATTGCTTAAGGTAAGAATCATCAATGGATGCTAAAATTCTGGGGCTACAGTAAGATGAGAAATAAGATATTTTCATAGCTTCAAAGTATAATTCATCATGGAACATATTATTTACAAAGGGGAAAAGAGCAGCTTTGAAGTAGAAAAGCCTGAAACACAGTACTTAACCAAGTCATCTAGGTTAATGTCACCAATAATGAGACTTAACAGTGTCACATGCTGCTAATCATTCAGTTCAGTTCAGTTCATTCACTCAGTCGTGTCTGGCTCTTTGCGACCCATGAATCCCAGCATGCCAGGCCTCCCTGTCCATCACCAACTCCGGGAGTTTACTCAAACTCATGTCCATTGAGTCGGTGATGCCATCCAGCCATCTCATCCTCTGTCATCCCCTTCTCCTCCTGCCCCCAATCCCTCCCAGCATCAGGGTCTTTTCCAATGAGTCAACTCTTCACATGAGATGGCCAAAGTACTGGAGTTTCAGCTTCAGCATCAGTCCTTCCAATGAACACCCAGGACTGATTTCCTTTCAGATGGACTGGTTGGATCTCCTTGCTGTCCAAGGGACTCTCAAGAGTCTTCTCCAACACCACAGTTCAAAAGCATAAATTTGTCAGTGCTCAGCTTTCTTCACAGTCCAACTCTCACATCCATACATGACCACTGGAAACCATAGCCTTGACTAGACGCACAAATCATTAGAGATATGTAAATCAAAACTTCAGTGAGTACCACTTCACACTAGTCAGAATGATCATTATCAAAAAGTCTATAAATTATAAATGCTGGAGAGTTTTTGGAGAAAATAAAATCCTCCTACACTGTTGGTGGGAATGTAAATTGGTGTAGTTACTATGCAGAACAGTATAAAAGTTCCTTAAAAAACTGAAAATTGTGCTACTGTAATATATGATCCATCAATCCCACCCCTGGCCATATATCCAGAATAAACCATAATTTGAAAAGATGCATGCACACCAATGTTTATTGCAGCACTGTTTAGAGTAGCCAAGACATGGAAGCAACCTAAATGTCCATCAGCAGGTGAATGGATAAAGAAGACATGGTAGATATATTGATATGTGCAATGGAATATTACTCAGCCATAAAAATGCAACCATTCCATTTGCAGCAACATGGATAGACCTAGGGGTTATTCTACAAAGTGAATAAATGAGACAGGGAAAGACAAATATCATATGATATCACTCATATGTAGAATCTAAAAATAATGATACAAATGAACTTATATATAAAACAGAGACTCCCAGACTTTGAAAACAAACTTAAGATTTCTGAAGGGGAAAGGTGATAGAGGGGATAAATTAGGAATTTGGAAATAGCCTACACATATTACTATATATAAAATAGATAATGAACAGTGACTTACTATAGCACAGGGAACTAAGTATTTTTTAATTGTCTATATGGGGGAAAAAGTTATGTATATAAAACTGAGTCACTTTGCTGTATCCCCAAAACTAACACAACATTGTAAATCAACTATACTTTAACAAAAATAAATTAATTTTAAAAAGATACCCAGAAAGGTTACAGCATCACTTCTGAGGTCTTATTGCCAAAAATATATAACCTCCATTTAATCATGAAAGAACATCAGACATCCAAATTGAAGGGTATTTTACAACATAACTGGCTTACACTCTTCAAAAGTGTCCAGTTCAGGAGAAAGACAGATGGAGGAACTGTTCCCGACTGGAAGGAATTTAGGAGATATTACTATTAAATGCTATGTGGAAACATTGATCTTAAACCAAAAAAAGATATGAATGGGACAGTTATTTTAATAACATCTGTGGATTAGTTTTAAATAGCATGATAGCAATGTTAATTTCCTGGTTTAGATAATTGTGGTTTAAAAAATATTCTTGCTTCTTTAAATAATAATGCATTTAAACCCACAATATTGGATCAATCATTGAGGAGTTACTTAGCATCAGGGTGAAGAAAAATCACATCCAGTTTGGGAGCCAACAGTTTCCAAGCTGAGATGGAGACAAAATTGACTATGAATACAACCAGAAAAATAGTTCAACTACAAATCATCTTCTTTTTGTAGTTTTCTTGCTCATCATACAGAATCTCCTAAAATATATAATTTTCCCAGAACCAGGTACATATAAATTTCATCACATATCCTAGGGTCATTTGCTGGATTTTGTATTCTGGTCCATAGATAAGCATCACCATTCAGAAGCCAGTAACAACAACAATAACAAAAAATAGGTCATTTTGAGAATATTTTCGGTGATTCTCATCTGATTCTTCTTCTGCAGTGTGCTTATAGACTCATTTAGTTAAGATGGTCTTATCCGCTGATGAACCAGGGTTGCTGAGTTACTGACTGGACTCAGGGTCTATGTCCCAAATAAAAAGTATATGCCAGAAACTGTCCTAAGTACTTTTTTATATACTGGCCTCTTTAATATTCATAATCCCAAATGGCTTAGGTATGGTTATTTTCCTTCTTTTTTTTTTTCAACAGATAAACTAATTCATAGAGAAACTAAGAATCTTGGTGTTTAAAGCCACGTGGTTTTGCCATGATGATGCTGTTATTGTTACCTCGGGTACCCAACTCTGTGGCCTGCTTTCTTGACCTTTATTAAGCGTTTGAGAGAAAGGGCTTATTCCTGCTATTCCATCTTGGAACACAGACTCTGTGGGAGAGCATAGGCAGGGCCAGTTTGTCCCCTTTCTCTGTTGTCATTGTAATTATGCTCTGCTGTCAACATAATCTCCTTTTTCTGAGGAAATTCTTTCTGCCACATGGACAGGCGGGAGACTACCAGGGCCATGTGACATTTGTTAAT